CAGCTTTAAAAACATTGCCATGAGTTGGCGCACATAAATTTGGGGCACCCTGTGAATAATAGTGTCATGTTCACCTAAGAGTTTACTACGCGCATTAGATAGCTTTGACTTATATGTCTGTAATATGGAATCCACGTATCCTGAGATCGAGGAGTATGGAGGCATCGAGGCCAAAAAAAAATTCGGCTTATCCATTGATAGGGGTAGAGCTGACTCCAACCTACTACATGCTATAGCAACGGAAATGTGAGTCAGCACAATGTCGTGTTGTTTTCTCCCTGGTTGTCGTGACTTTCGTACGACCTCTTCGCGCACTGTCTTCCGCTGCGGCCATCTACATCACACGCGCAAAGTCTCTCCAACGCCTATTGGACGGTCGTCAGAGTGCCGCATTGGGTCCCACCGCGCAACTGCACCGCAGCCCTTTGCATGCGTATCGGTGGAAGCGAATGGATGGCCTAAAAAAGGATATGTCGTCGGTCAGTCTCGACTTATACACGCGCATGTTTCGGCTGGAGCTCTGCATGGTTTCTTACCCCATCTTCGACATTCCCTCGCTAATCCTAAGTTTTTCGTCCTCAGTCCCGACGTCACTTATTCCTGCTAACTTCTCTACCGAATTGGGCGGTCACAGGATATGCGCAGACTCCATGAAGGACCCGCAAGCAGAAGAGGATTACTCCAAGAGGATTATTCCACACGCAACGGATGAAGTTTATAATTTTGATGGTGGCGGTATCCCTGTTATCCCTCTGCGCAGCTGTCCATTCCCCGAACAGCCCGTGGTGCGCAGCCCGTGGAAGGTGGGATCCCGGTCGTAGTATGAATGAGTGGAGTGGGAACCCCTGCTGCGCTGCGAATGGCGACAGGACGTGTCGAACGCCCTTGGCTAACGCCACTGCGCATGAGCAGGAGGGTTGGCGCGCATTGGAGACGCCTAGTGAGGTGAGGTACCACCCCGTAGGCATTCTAGTTGAGCTCCCTTTTGCTTTGTTATTAGGCATAAAGCCGCTTATTCATTTTATGTTTTGTTGTGTGGCAAGGGAAGTCCATCTCTTTCATATTTATTTCTAACATGATGGACAAACATTCTTTCTCGGTCTCTTTAACTCATTACGAGCATAGTATATCTAACAAGTTTAACATTAATGAAAACATGATTGCTAACGATAATCTTTCTTAACCTTAATCTCCGAGCGCAGTATTTCGGGGAGGTCGTATTCAAGCGCAGGGTCACAGTGGTCGTAATAATTGTAAAGGACGCACGTAACACCGAGGGGCACCGCACAAGGACAAGGCGAGGTTGACAGACGCAGTACCTCTGTGCTCTTCTCGGAAGTCACGGCGGCGTTCACCCCACAACTTCTTTTCATATTCGTGCCCCGTGGAGTGATCGCCCGCCGCGATACTGGTTCTAGCAACAACATTACTATTACAAACGGTAAAATGGAGTTTTGGAACGAATTAATCAAAAATCAAACCACGGTAGGTACTGCTTGAACACTTCGTAACAGAGTAGAACTCACTTGTTTTGCTGGAAGAGGAAGGGACTGGTGGAGGCTTTTCACTCGGAGTAATAGTTTTGATCTGAAATGTCAAACGATACCACAGTATAAAATCTCAATATGCTCATCTCAGCGATTTCTTCAATAGTTGCATGACATTGCTTATTACCAGTGTTCTACCCCGCTTATTTCAACTTTCGTTACTGCAGAAGCTGCATGACTGAATTCATATGAGTCGTATTTCACTTCTCAAACACGAACCCAAGGAGTGGAGACTAAGTGTTCAGCTGTATACGTGTATATGTGCGTGTTTATTTATGCTGCATATGTGTGTACTAATTTGGCGACGTTCGCCGTTGTGTGTATGTAAGTATTGGCTGGGTATGTTACTCATGAGATTCGAATTGCCGGCTTCCTATTTTGCTTGAGTTCTGAAGGAAATTTCAATCGCATACATGGAAGAAACAAGAATTTTTTTGGTCGGTAAAAACCTAAAATCTAAAAAATCTGATCAATCCCCTTGTACGAAAGTCGCTGTGCTGTGCTTGTCGCTCTGTTTGTTTACGACCATTCAGAAGATTTTCATAATGATATCACGGCTTTTCTCCAGAAAGCATAAAGGAGAAATAAGTCATTCCACAACATACAAAAACGCATAAAAATCATGTAATTAACTCATCGGTGTCTCTGGTACACTCTCGGCATATTCACTAGCGAAACGGTAGCGAGATGGTGCTGTGTTTGATACCGCATCAGTGGTCGTAGAGAGCCTTCGATACTAAACTCAAAAGAATCTGATGTTGAACATAACACAATCTCAAAGCAAAAGCATCTATTTTTCATTGATACTTCTACGGGAGGTGGTACATCAATCTTTGCTTTTTCAGAATCATTAGTTCGGTCGAAACTCGTGACCCACCTCTTCCTTATAGTCCATCCATGGCTCATAAATATTCCTCCCGGCTTTCGATTCCTGCAAAACAGAAAGCGATATATTCCAGCATGAAAGCCGTATCCATGATATGGAGATACGGATTCCGCGTGCGAGGGGTGAAGTCTTTGACGCGTAGGATGCATTTTCGAACCGATGAGGTAAGACGTAAGGAAGTCCTGCACTCTCCTCCTTTCATCCGGTATTCTGCCAATCCTACTAAGGATAACTTGTGTGAAGAGTTTGTAGCCTATAGACAGCAGGGAAATATGGCGATAGTCTCACAAGGTTGGACTCTAACCTTGCTTGTGCTTTCTGGGTACCGTGCTCTAGTAGTGTAAGGGATAAATAGCACGGAAAATAATCAAATATCAAAAGAAAATATTAAATAGCTTCAGACAGCACAAGTAGGTCGGGTTCAAGTACCGTCCGAGACCAGAGCTCTGCTCTTGAATCGTCAACCTTGTGAGACTTCCGGATCACGTACTGCGGCGATATAACATCAGTTAACAAAACATCAAGTCCAATCAAGATCAAGATGGCGATAGTTCTAACATCGCCATTGGGAAATTAAGACTATCGTCTGGAAATTCAAACATTCCCCTTCATAGTGCGCGATTGAATCTAGCGAGCACGGCGCGATTTTCGGGGATTCCACACTCATGGCAATCATACAACATAGCGGAGCAATGTTCACGTCATTGCTTCATGTCTCATGTACCAATAATGATAAACGTTGGAAGAATCGAGCCACTGGCGAGCCTTATGTGTAAGAATATTTGATTATGATAGCTGTTCCCATTAAGCTCCCTTTCCGATCAATTCAATCAAATGTTCCAGTCCTAAGCAGCTTTTCAGATACTGACTAATCGAAAGCACGTACACATGGCGAAGTGAAGCTCATAATGAAACTCCTGTTGACTCAATCATAATTGGACACTGCGGAGCTACTGGTATAGGATTTACTTCAAATTTTTGAAACATCACAGTATGGATTGGGGAGCATACTTGTAACGATCACATGAAAAGCTTAACAAAAAAAAACTCCGTTTTTTCAACGTAATCGCTGTCAATATTGAGAGTACTTAAAATGTCTAATCTAACTCACGAAGACCATACCACATCGCACATATTTGTTCGCAATTCAGTGATTAGAAAAATAATTAGCGAAACATACCGAGATCGCAGAGGTTTTCTTCATTTTGCTGAATCGGCTACCTCTAAAGGAACATCCATGGAGCCGGTTACCTGGGAACCGCCTTGAAACCAACCCATTTAGGTCAGATAGATTTGCTTCCGTAGAAAAAGAACAATATTGCAAGACAGGAAATATTCTTAAGGGGTTAGACCAAAAAGAGAACAAGTCTTACGAGTTTGAGAGTTGCGAAAGTGGCATTATTCAAGTGCCATCAAAATACATGGCGATATTGAAACGCATCTTTAGCTGCCACTGCTTTTTAAGTTCTTAGGAGGGCTTGAAGTATTCAATACTGGATGGATGAGGTCCAGGCAAGATGGTTTTTGGCCTATGGTTAAGTTTGGGGTATGTGCGCGGCAGGGGTAGCGGTATTTATCCTCGAATTTCTTCGGCGAGCAGCAGCAGCTCCACCGTATCCTTCCATTGGAAATCCGAACCTTCTCCTTCATAAAAAGCGGCTATGCGCGTGCGGTGAGCGCGAGGCGATTTTCGCGATTTTCTAGTAGGAGATACCACATCCACACTTACCATAAGTACAACAAAACAAAAAGCATGAATAGGTTTGGCACATGAACAGTGCAGTCGTATACTGCCAACCTCCAATGAGTAACTTCCGGATTAGTTTAAAGGCACAGTTCACGATAATTTTAGGTGGAAAGTGGAAGTGTTGATGTAGAGGAGAACATTGGTTGCGAAGTTAGCGAGAAAATCCGCCTACTTCAAGGCTTTGGGAAAGTGGTGGAAGTGGAGGTTGTACGAGATACCGTGATGGTAATCGCATGTAAGGGGTGCTTGGACGGGGTTTAACTTGCTGCCAATGCTCGAAGAGATGCCTACATCAAACCGAAATTGTCCAAAACTGCCTTTCGGCAAGTTGCCTTCTTCAGATGTAGAGTTGACACATAATACTAGACATCGTTTATTGAATATGTATTGCTACAGGCGAATAATAAGTACAGGATACACAATGTGCCGAGCCTCTTCGGACCCGAGGCGCGTGAAGCTGTGGTGGTCGTCCTCGTCTTCAGCTCCGTCATTGAGCCCTGCCAGTCGTCGTCGATCTCGTTGTGCTCGCTGCTTCTTCTACTCCCTTTTGTATCTCCGCAGCGTCGCTGCCTCCTGCAATCAGTTCTCATCATCAGCGACGCGTTAAGCCTACTGTATGAGAGACATCATCTATTGATCACCTTCCTGACCTCAACTCATGCACCTCCCCCTAGAACAAGTCCATCCTTGGATTTGTAGTAAAACGAAAGAAATGAGGGGATGAAATACTTACTGTTTATGACATATGTTGCAGCGGTTATGCGAATAGGTCCAGAGATGTGGAATCATTGACGATGACAAGCCCACTGTATGACGCGGTTCAGTTCGAGAGTCCGCAAATTGCATAGTTTAAATTCACCATGGCGGCAGCGCGTAATTGCGACGTTGAGGCGCCCCCTATCATTTGAAAATTCTCCTGTCGAAGCGTATACATCGGAACGTGACGTGAGGTAACAATATCCATTTCACGGCCTCGGACCGCGCCGGCGGTGTGCAAGGCAACTACCAATCGACGGGCTTCTTGTTCCATAAGGCGCTGCTGGTCCTTGTAGTGGGTAACGATGGCTATATAGGACCCAGGGCTACCCTTAGCCTCTACGCACACATCACCATCGTGCCTCCTCCTCGTTGGAGCAAGATTGGGACGCTGATGTTTCGACGAACCACTAAAGCGATGCGCGGACTGGGAAGGAGGTGCGCCTCACCAGAAGTGCGCGGTCCGCGTTCCGCCAACGAGTGCTCCACCGTAGACGAGGCGATTCAGAAGACAGTTGAGAGGCGGGTGAGCTCTAAATGTGGTCACTAGTGGCGCGAGGGGAATCCCTATCTACTAAAATTCCCATGATACCTCTTGCTCCAAGCCGTGACGGAGCGGGACTGCAAAGGTGAGTTGTCAACTGGTGTGCGTTGCTAGTGGAGATGTGACGAGCACCTCGTAATCGCGAGACCATAGCTACGAAAGCCGGCTCCGGGATCGAAGCCTCGTCCCCGATGATGATCTTGCTGCTTGCGAGCAATTCGTGAAAGCGGCCGCCTGGACGCCTCGATTCGAGGAGCGATGATGTCGTCATACAGAGTATGGCGGGGAATCGCGCACGCATACTGAGCCCCACCGCGTATTCCGTGGACTCGAAGTTTTCGTCCTCAGTGAAATTGCTTGGTTCTCTACCAGTAGTGCCACGCGGGCTCTTGTCGATTGTCGTGCAAACTCTCAAACCTCAAACTTGGGTAATTAAACCTTTATTTATCTAAGCGAGAACAAAATAAATGCTCTGCGAAGGAAAACAACGATCACTACGGGAAAAAACAAAAAACTACTTTCGCAGATTATAAGACGAAAGGGAAAAAACCCTTTTCCAGTTAATACGGACAAATACAAAGAAGTGTCTAGAAGCAAGGGGGAAGAGAAAAAGATTTCAATTCGATCCCTCGCCTCTTCATACGGAATCTACGCCGAGAAAAACATTTTGTGAAGAGCAACATTCGCATTGCGGGGCTATGGGAAATCTTGCTTGTTTTCAAAATAGCTCAGCTTTGAAACATCTGTGG